TTCTTCAGTAGCATTTAAAAGTTCAAATAATTTATATTTTTCGGTATGGTCAGGACAAGCAGGATAACCTGGTGCTGGACGAATGCCTGTATATTTTTCTTTGATTAAATCTTCCATCGAAATAGATTCATCTTTTGCATAACCCCAATATTCTTTACGAACTTTTTCGTGAACTAATTCTGTGAATGCTTCAGCTAAACGGTCTGCCAAAGCTTGCAACATAATTTTATTATAATCATCATGTTGTTCTTCAAACATTTTAATATGCTCCTCAATGCCTTTTATGGTTACTGCAAAAGCACCCATAAATTGTTGTCGGTTGTCGGTTGTCGGTTGTCGGTCAAATACAAAATCAGCTAAAGATAAATTAGGTTGTCCTTCTGCTTTTTGAATTTGTTGACGAAGGAAATTGAGTGTAATATTTTTATTAACTACATTAATTTCATCATCACTCTTTTTTTCAACTTCAAACAAACTAAAAACTGCATTGGCTTGCAACCATTTTCCATCAACTATTTTTTGCAATAAAGCATTGGCATCATTGTATAATTTAGTTGCTTCTTTACCCACAATTACATCTTGTAATATTGCAGGAAATTTTCCATGCATTTCCCAAGTAATAAAAAATGGGGTCCAGTCGATGTAGTTACTTATTTCTTTTAAATCATAATTTAAAATGGTCTTGTTGCCAAGAACATTTGGCTTTGGAATTTGAAAGTTTTCATCTATTTGGAATTTATTAGCTCTAGCTTTTTCTATTGACAAATAATTTTTTATTGTTTTTCGATTTAAAAAATCATCTCTTAGTTGTGCATATTCATTGGTAATTTTTGTCAACAAAGGTGTTTTATTTTCATTCAACAAATCACTTACTATAGATACAGCTCTTGATGCATCTAACACATGAATGACACCATGGTTATAGTTTTCAGCAATTTTAACAGCTGTATGCATTCTTGATGTTGTAGCACCACCAATGAGCAATGGAAAGTTTAAATTTCGTCGTTTCATTTCATGTGCAATGTGAACCATCTCATCTAATGACGGTGTAATTAAACCAGACAAACCAATGACATCCACATTTAAACGAACAGCTTCATCTAAAATTTTATTGGCAGGAACCATTACACCTAAATCAATAATTTCATAACCATTGCATGCTAAAACTACACCCACAATATTTTTTCCAATATCATGTACGTCCCCTTTTACGGTAGCTAACAAAACTTTTCCTGCACTACTTTCCTCGATCTTACCAGCTTCTATGAATGGTTGTAAATAGGCGACACTTCGTTTCATTACACGTGCACTTTTTACCACTTGTGGTAAAAACATTTTTCCACTTCCAAACAAATCACCCACAACATTCATACCATCCATTAATGGACCTTCTATCACTTCAATAGGTCTATCAAATTTCAAACGAGCTTCTTCAGTATCTTGTTCTATGTAATCTGTAATGCCATTGACCAATGAATGCGTCAATCTTTTTTCAACAGATTCTAAACGCCAAGATTCATCTTTTATTTGAACTTTACCTTTGGCTTTTACTGTTTCTGCAAATTGTATTAAAGCTTCAGTTGCTTCGTTGTTATCATTGTTTCTATTTAAAATAACATCTTCACACAATTGTTTTAAAGCAGGTTCTATTTCATCGTAAACAGCTAATTGACCAGCGTTCACGATACCCATATCCATTCCTGCTTTAATAGCATGATACAAAAAAACGGAATGCATGGCTTCTCTTACATGCTCATTTCCTCTGAATGAGAACGATAAATTACTCACACCACCACTTACTTTTGTCAATGGCATTAATCGTTTTATTTCTCTAGTTGCTTCAATGAAATCTACACCATAATTATTGTGTTCTTCAAGCCCTGTAGCAACAGCAAAAATATTCGGATCGAAAATAATATCTTCTGGTTTGAATCCTACTTGCTCGGTTAATATTTTATAAGCACGATGACAAATTTCAACTTTTCTATCTTTGGTATCAGCTTGTCCTTGTTCATCAAATGCCATTACAATTACAGCTGCACCATACATTCTACAAATTTTTGCTTGTTGAATAAATTTGGCTTCGCCTTCTTTCATCGAAATAGAATTGACTACACATTTCCCTTGAATACATTTCAAACCGGCTTCAATAATTTCAAATTTGCTACTATCCAACATAATCGGAATTTTAGCAATATCAGGTTCAGCTTGTACTAAATTGATAAAGGTGGTCATAGCGTAAACACCATCTAACATGGCATCATCCATGTTGACATCTAATATTTGCGCACCACTTTCCACTTGCTGACGAGCTACACTTAGTGCTTCATCATATTTTTCTTCTTGTATTAATCGAGAAAACTTTTTACTGCCTGTAACATTGGTTCGCTCACCAACGTTTACAAAGTTTGTTTCTGGTCGAAGTACCAAAGGCTCAAGACCACTTAAATGTAAAAAAGGTTTTATTGTAGAGTTCATAATTTAATTTTAATCAATTTGTAAAACTGGCAATTTTCTTGGTGCTAAACCTTTTACTTGGTCAGCTATACATTTAATATGATCAGGTGTAGTTCCACAACAACCACCCACGATATTCACAAATCCTTCTTTTGCCCAATCGGCAATGATGTGCCCTGTTTGGTGAGGTTGCTCGTCATATTCACCAAAAGCATTTGGTAAGCCAGCATTAGGATATGCACTTACTGCACATGTTGCTAATGCACTTAATTCTTCAATATGAGGACGCATTTGAGTAGCACCTAAAGCACAATTAAAACCTACACTTATTGGATTACAATGTTCGATTGAATAATAAAATGCTTCTAATGTTTGTCCGCTTAATGTTCTTCCACTTGCATCTGTTATTGTACCAGATATCATTATTGGCAATGCAACTTTACAATCTTCAAAATATTTTTTTGTAGCAAAAATGGCTGCCTTTGCATTGAGTGTATCAAAAATTGTTTCAATTAAAATAATATCAACACCACCATCAACTAAGCCTTTCACTTGTGTGTAATAGGCCTCCATCACTTGATCAAAAGTTACAGCACGATATCCAGGATTATTTACGTCTGGTGAAAGAGATAGTGTTCTGTTTGTAGGACCGATAGCGCCAGCAACAAATTTTGGATTGTCTTTTTCTGCATTTGGATACTTTAAATAAAATTCCTTCACTGCATTTTTAGCACATTGGGCTGAAGCCACATTCAATTCATAACTTAAATCTTCCATGCCATAATCTGCCATTGAAATAACTTGTGCGCTAAATGTATTGGTTTCTATAATATCAGCACCAGCTTCTAAATATTGCAAATGAATATTCGTAATAATTTCGGGTTGGGTGATAGAAAGCAAATCATTATTTCCTTTAACATCACTTGGCCAATTTTTAAAACGTTCACCTCTGTAATCTTCTTCAGATAATTTGTGGCGTTGTATCATAGTGCCCATGGCACCATCTATGATTAGAATTTTTTCTTTTAATAAATCTTGAATTGTACTCATTAGTTCAGTTTTTTTGTTTGTACTGAACTTTACTATCACATTTAAAGCATTGGAATTGCTTAGAGTAGAGAGTATTAGTTCAGTTTATTATACAGGCTGAACAATAATCAAATCTGCCTGTTAGTTGCAAAAGTATATTACAATTTTGATATGAGGAACAATTTTTTTTAATCTATTTTTGTAAAACATGAAATTTACGATTGCATATACTTTATTATTTGTTTACGTTATAGCGGCTATTTTATTTTGGGGTTATAGTTTAGAAAAACAAAAAGATGTAGTTTACAATTTAGAAAGACAAGTTTTAGAAAGTTCTAAACTACAAATTTCAGATTCCAAATTTTCTGAACAATTAAAATTAATTGAAGAAAAAAAAATACGACGAAGTAAACAATATTATGGAGAAGGTGGAACATTTTTGCTTATCATTTTGCTTACAGCTGGAATTGTTTATTATGCATATTATAGACAATTAAAATTAAGTCAATTACAACAAAATTTTATGCTGAGCATTACACATGAATTAAAAACTCCAATTGCAGGTATAAAACTGAATATGCAAACAATGGAAAAGCATAAACTAGATGAAGAAACGAATAGGCAATTAATCAAATCTTCAGTTTTAGAAACCAATCGACTAAATGATTTATGTAACAATATTTTGATTGCAACTCAATTAGAAAACAAACGAAAAGTGCTTTTTGCTGATGAAATAAATTTAATGTCATTGGTAAAAGATGAAATTAAAGAAGTGCAAATGCGTTATCCAAATTTAGTAATTAATCAATCTTTTTTAGCTGAGGATTATATTTTTAAAGGGGAAACCATTTTGTGGAAAGTAGTAATAAGTAATTTAATTGAAAATGCAAGAAAATACTCTATTACGAATGAGCCAATTGAAGTAGAAATTAGCAAAGAAAATAGTAAAATAAAATTAGCTGTAAAAGACAATGGAGTGGGTATTTCTGATGAAGAAAAAACAAAAATATTTCAAAAATTTTACAGAATAGGAAATGAAAATACTCGAAGTTCAAAAGGTACAGGACTTGGATTGTTTATTGTAAAGAAAATTGTGACTTTGTATAAATATGACATTTCTGTGAAAAACAATTCACCTAAAGGTTCTATTTTTGAAGTGTTATTTTCTTAATTTAAATATATAGATGGACATAAATAAACACACCATTTTATTGGTAGAAGATGAAGAGAGTTTGAGAAATGCACTCAAACTAAACTTAAAGATGGAAGGCTATGAAGTGCGTACAGCAGTAACTGGAAGTGAGGCATTGAAAGCATTTAAAGAAGAATACTTTGATTGTATTATTTTGGATATAATGATTCCTGAAATTGATGGATTGAATGTATGCGAAACGATTCGTTTGCAAAATGACAAAGTACCTATTTTATTTTTATCGGCAAGAAGTAACAGTGCAGACAGAGTTTTGGGCTTAAAAAAAGGAGGTGATGATTATTTGGTAAAGCCTTTTAATTTGGAAGAACTTTTGTTAAGAGTTGAGAAATTAATTCAAAAAAATATTAAAATAGAACATGCCAATGAAGAGGTTGCTCTATTTGAAATTGGTGATTGCAAAATAGATTTTTTAGCAGCAGAATGTATTGATATTAAAGGACAAAAACATTCATTGACAAAAAAAGAAATTCAGTTTTTAAAATTGTTGGTTGAAAACAAAAATGAAGTTATAACTCGTGAGCATATTTTAAAAATGGTATGGGGTTATAATGTTTTTCCTACTACGAGAACAATAGATAATTTCATTACTTCTTTTAGAAAATATTTTGAAATTGACCCAAGAAGTCCAAAACATTTTTTGAGTGTAAGAGGTGTTGGTTATAAGTTTTCTATTTAATAATAAGTAGGAGTATATTTTTTTTTGTTTTGATAAATTAATATCAATAAAAAAAAGACAAAAAACACAGTTCCAGCTTGAATTTCAAGCATATCATCTGTTAAAATATTTATTAAAACCAAGCCTGTAAACCACATTCCAATAGTTTCTTTATGTTTGAAAAACTGGATAAAACTAAATACTAAAATACAACCTAATAAAATAATACCAATCAACCCCAAATCAATCCAAGTGTGAAAAAATTGATTATGCGTATGCATATTGTATTTTATTAAATCAGCATATCTTTTTTCTTTAAATTTATTTATCAATAATGGATTTGATGCTCCCGTTCCATAACCAATAATAGGGTTTGATTTTATCAACTGCCATTCTAAATTCCATGCAGCTCTTCTTGCAATAGTAGAATTTGAAAAATTTGGATTTGCAATTTCAACTTTTGATTCTCTGAGTGTCTCAATTATTCTACTTTTAATAGGTGGAGCAAATGAAAAAATGAATCCAAATATCAAACATAAACCTATGAAAGAAGTTAGTCTTAAAATATTATTTTTTATAAAATCTGATAATTTCCAAAGCACGAAAATTACAAAAATGAAAATGAAAATCAAGGCAGTTTTTGAAACCAATAGTGCAAGTATGATTGAGAAAATTGTGATAATAAAAATATAAAACCATTTGAGTGGATTGTTTTTATTTTGAATTAATTCAAACGCACTAAAAACAATTCCTAATACAAAATAATTAGAATAATAACCAGGATGCATTATGCCTTGAGAGATATTCATTCTATTTAATATACCTGAAATTCCAAATGAGTGAAAATGATATACAGAATAAAATAAACAATAAATAAAAGACAATAGACAGGAAATACAAAAAGCAATCAACAGTTGTTTTTTTGATTTTGGATTCAAATAATTTTCGGTTGAAAACAAAAAAGGAAGTATTAAAAAAGACATTTTCACTTCGATGCTATGTGAGGCATCTTGTTTAAAGTCACTCCAACTTAATGCAATTAGATGATAAAGGAAAAATGTTACAAAAGAAATTAGTACAGCATCAAATTTGATAGTTTTTATTTTTTGAACTAATTGTTTGTCAAATAACCAATGCATAGCCAAAAAAACAATTCCAACTGAGTTAATTCGTTGGTTCCAAGGAAATGAACATGCCGTTAGA